TATATATATATATATATATATATATATATATATGCTAGATCCCAAATAGCCTTCACAAGCCAGTGCAGTGCCCTCATCATATATGATTAATACCGGACTTCCAGCCCCCAACAGTGTCTTTTTAATTTTATTTTCTTTGTAATGACTAAAAAAATTAAATTGTGCATGGTGCCTGTGTTCATCACTTCAGAAACTGAGTTAGGAGGATTGATATGAATTCTAATGCAGCCTGGACTAAACAACAAAAAGAACGCATTTGATGTTTTTGGAAAAACTCAATCCTTAGAGTAATAGTGCTAAAACCTTGTTTGAGGACTAGCTATGGTAGCACACACCTGTGGTCTCAACAGAACTCAGAAGACAGGTAAGGAGATCACATTCAAGGCCAATCTGAGATACAAATAATAAAATAAAAATATGTACTGCTAGAGTTCATTTGGTTTCACTAAACATAAAAATATACCAGAATTAGAAATGAATAGTTCATTGATGAATACTCTGGCCTGTAAGAAGAAACTTAGCCAAGTTAACCATTATTGTGACTAAGCAATAAACAATTGAAAAGATATATAAATGATTCAGACAAATTCAGGATATGTGACAAACAATAAAATGTTAAGCCTGAAGAAGAGAAGGCTAAAGGTATAACTCATCTTTAAATAACTGAAGGTTGACATGTGGAATAGCTAGTTCTTTCAAGAACGGAACCAAAAATAGAAAAGAGTTAAAACAACTCACACTCAACATTTTACAATTATTGTTGTTGAGTCATAGGACAGGCCATTATTGAACACTTACTGTCTGGCCTGGGTTGAACAAGATGGCTTCTAGCAATCATACAAATTTGATTTGATGACAGTCTCTTTGATTTCTGTGTGCTATGCTCAAAGATTAAAAAAAAAAAAGACCAATTATGAAAATGTTGGGGGGCTGGTGAGATGGCTCAGTGGTTAAGAGCCCTGACTGCTCTTCCAGAGGTCATGAGTTCAAATCCCAGCAACCACATGGTGGCTCACAACCATCTGTAAATGGAATTTAATGCCCTCTTCTGGTGTGTCTGATGATAGCTACAGTGTGCTCACATACATTAAATAATTCTTTAAAAAAGGAGGGGAGGGGAGACTGAAAAAAAACAAAACACCATACTTCTTAAAAACAAACCCACCCCTTTTGTTAGCAGATACCTGTAATCTGAGCACTTGAAAGCCCAAGCCAGTATGATTGCCAAACCAGCTTGGGCTACATGGAGTTCTGGTTCAACCTGAGCCTTGGTGAGACCCTCTCTAAAAAAAAAAATGCCAAAACTTAGGACATGGAGGGATGGCTCAGTGGTTGAGAGCACTTGATGCTCTTGTGGAAATCCCAGGTTTAGTTCCCAGCATCCACATGACAACTTGTAACTGTCTCTAATTCCAGGTCCATGAGGTCTGAGGCATTCTTCTGGCATCTACAGGCACCCCCCCCCTCCACACACACACACACACGCCACATATATACATGCAGGCCAAACACTCAAACATATAAAATAAAAATAAATGTTTATTTAAAAAGGCAAAAGCACAAACAAAAACCAGAGAAACAAAGTACTTTGACTTTTCAAAGTACTTTGGATTAAAAGCGGTTCTGCTTAATGTCTAAACAGACATTAAAAAAAGACAAAGACAAAAAAAATACATAACCAGCCTCAAATAATATATAAATTGTTTTTTAAAAATCATACCAATATACTTATTTGTATCTGGAAATAAGATAGGTGGTAGGAAATACAAATAGATACTATAATATGAAACTGATAAAGTTTTAAAACACAAGCTGCTAAAAACATGGTTAATTTTGAAAAAGTGATATCCTGTCAGTAAATAAAACATGATGAGAAAGTCAAGTATATCAATTATCATGAGAGCACACACCTTTAATCTCAGC